AGGTCATAGTTGCTAACAACTCTGTGCTAGTAGTAGGTAATATTTCCTGGATCGGGTGCACTGGGCGGGTTTCGGGGACACACTATTTGTCGTCATTTCAAGCATATGTTATTAATAATTTGTTTTAATTTTAGACTATAAGGTTTAAAATGAGGAAGTTATACACCAAGGGGCTCTCCGCCTCTCTTTGACCGGGGGGGGGGGGGGGGGGGGGTCGTTGCGGTTGCGCATGCTTTTAGCTGGAATGCTGCTGAGTCCAACAAACTAAGAAAGCTAACTGAGAAAGCAATAAAGATAGATTGCCTACTTGTTCACGTACATTCACGCAAATCCAAAATTATTATAAAAGACATGTGTACTTAATACCACCACGTCACGTTTTCCTATGGGACTCATAATAGTTCCATATAATATAATATAACGCGTCCAGATAATTGTCATATGCACAAAGTGAAAAAAACGTTTAGTCTTCATTTCCATTATCGGGAAAACCCTATAATCATAATTATGCTATTTCTAACCATCAATGAAAATCGATGACTGTACGGTGTGTAATTTGAAAAGAACATATTTTTTGTGTATACAGCCATAAAATAGTTTCAAAATCATGACATCAAAAATATATCAATCATATCAAAATCAGATGTTTTAGCTTTCTAAAACGAAAAGGGGCGGTCGGGTAGCCTTGCTGTTAAAGCGTTCGCTCGTCACGCCGAAGACCTGGGTTCGATTCCCGACATGGGTACGATGTGTGAAGGACATTTCTGGTGTCCCCCGCCGTGATACTGCTAGAATATTTCTAACAGCGGCGTAAAACCAAACTCACTCACTTATTCACTCTAAACCGATTCGCCTGCGATTATTAAATCGAAACCACACACAGAACATAAATATCCCTTCGATTTCACATCCTTTGGGATGTTGACGCCATAGCGCTCAGAAACGACAGTGTTTACATATACTATCCAAAACAAAATATTTGCAGCATAATTTATGTACATTCGGAACTTTTTGAAATACTGAAATCAGATATACAGGTCTAAATGCTTCGAGTCTTCGACAACCTCCGAGTTGTATTGAAGTAAGTGAATATGGTTTTACGCCGCTTTCAGCAATATTCCAGCAATATAATGGCCTCACACATTGTACCCATGTGGGGAATCGAACCCGGGTTTTCAGAGTGACAAGCGAACGCTTTAACCACAAGGCTACCCCACTGCTTGTAGTGAAGAGAGCGTCTACACAGAAAGCGGATGATCGGTGATTCGATCCCCGGCCGCGTTTTACAAAAAGACGCTGAAAAATGTTTCTTGTTATTACCGTGCCTGGTTACCCTGGTTCGGCCCGACTGGTCGGCCTGGAGTCAGTATACTGTGTCAGAGTAGGGTATCCATGTTAAACTGCGGCATGGTGTCCCAGTTGGGGGATACTATGTTATCAGCATCAGTCGTCACATCTTACACAGTCCATTCAAGATATTGCATATGTTTTCATCTGTTTCATTGTTGACTAGTCTATACATTTAAACAAACAAGTCACAGAACTTTCATTGAGAAAATATCCCAAAACGTGAAAAACTATTTCCATATGCATAGTACATTGGTTGTAAGGCTCCACGTGCTATCATCGAAGCCCTACGATGAGCTGGCGATCTAGAGAGCTCTGCCTGTCGAGAGGGGCGGGGACAGGCCTACAGCTATGCTATGCTGGAAACGTAGACCCAGTTTCCGTGTAGCGAGGATATCAGTACTTTTGAATAGCGTGACAGCGTCAGGGTACAGGAGTAATCATATAAGCATTAGGGTCGTAACTCTCGTGGTTTATAAAAAAATACGCACTCACAGCGTGGTTGGTTTGAGTTAAGCAATATCTGCATGTCTCCACTCATCTAGTTTATCATAAAATAACATAACAACAATTTATCATTTAACTTAAGCATTTATCCATGACATAAGCTAATGACATAAAAACATGTATGTCATACCCCAATGACATAAGTATGCAAATTAGATATGCAAATTAGATAACCGGAAGAGCGAGCGGTTTGATTTGAAACTATATATTATAAGTGAAGTTACACCAGAGATATAATCAGATTACACAGAATCGTTGTTGTTACCGTTATTAAAGTTTCAATTATTCTGCAAAAGTCTGTTCAAGTATTTTGTTTAAAATAATCCGAGGAACTTTTTTCTCAGCGAATTGTTTATTTTGGTTTACATGGCTATGGAAAACATGTATCACTACGCACGATCTATACGTAAGATTTCGACAAGTTGCTGATGTTAATGTTTAATGCAATTATTCCCTAATTTGGAAGCAAAAATGTGAAAATGATAAATAGAATTCATCACCTCGTCCCGTTAATCGGTATTTGCCTCGCCAAAGGCTCGGCAAATACCGATTAACTAAGACTCGGTTGATATTTACCATATTAAAAAACACTCGTGATGAATCCTCTATGTAACTACTACTTTGAAAAGATAAATTATGAAGAAATATTATTAACTTTACCACTGTAGATATATCAATGTCAACGGCATCATGAACACCACTATGGCTGTGTCACCTTTATACCACATATTCATTTGAAAACAATAACAGGAAGTCATTGTTGTGAAAACATATTTCTAGTTTTATTTTCATATTTATGTTTGTTTTCTACTTCTATATTATATACATATTTGAACTGAGATGTGCCATATTCTCATTCCTGGGACCGCCTCCGTGGTCTTGTGGTAGAGCGTCCGCCCGGAGAGCGGAAGGTCTGGGGTTCGATCCCGGGCCGCGTCATACAAAAAGACGTTAAAAGATTGTACTTGTTGTTACCCTGTCTGGCGCTCGGCATTAAGGGGCTAAAACAAGGACTGGTCGGCTCGGAGTCAGTATACTGTGTCTGAGTGGGGTATTCATGTTAAACTGCGGCATGGTATCTCAGTGAGCTAGCACTATAAATCGGCATCAGTCCGGACTAGTACAAGCAGCCACACATACACGTGCATGCACGTCGCTATATAAGTGCAATAATCTTGGACGCGACGTTAAACCCAATTTCACCTCACCTCACCTCATTCCTGGTGGTGAAGGTACCACATGCAAATTACAAATTGTTTTATCTTCTGGGTTAAACACTACGCTTTATGAAGTATAGGTTCTTGCGTCAATAGGTAGGTATGCTACAAAATTTCTCTGCGCAGAGTTGATCCCCTGGATCAAAGTTATTTTGTCAGTGTAAGATATCGTTGTTGAGATTTCGTAGGTAATATTAACCAAAAACCATTCAAACATCATCACCATCTCTATAACAGTAAAATGAATGTTTAGTTTAAGTGACATTGTCAATGAACCTGTCATATTAATTTGCAACACACAAACACACACCTTTCCAATGAAAAGATAAAAATTCTTCAAAAGTATTATTTTTTGTTATATGCTGGTTCCTGCACTTTATACCAGCAAGAATTAATGTTTGTATGTTTTCATGATTTGATAGATCCAATAACAAACCATTAGTTCCTTGGTTACATGACGTCAGTTTACGCAAAAACAACATTGTTCAAATGACTTCGTTGTAATTATTTATGATGCATCGTTTTCAAAAAGACATAAATTCAGCTAATGAAGTCGATAAGGAAGTAGATTGGGTAAGATTCCGTGGACATATACCTTTGTCATGCGTTAATCACATTAAGAAAACAAACTGAATTACCAATTACTGTTTCTATGATAAAAGCATGATTTTAAAACAAATTCTCTAAAAACTTGGAAAATCACGTGGAGTGATGAAGTAATGTGTTCAAGAAATTTGTGAAAAAATAATGAATTAAATTTTGGCACGGGCTTTACATAATAATATAAATAATTTTCCTCCCCGATTGTATGCCTATATTTAGGTTTCTCTTGGAGATGGTTGACATGTATAACAGATGCGTACCTTCTTGACCCAGTCATATGTGATTTGAATTCTGTCATCATTTGATGGCCACGATGAAATATATATTTTTTCCTGTTTACAAGCATATGCATATATAAAATGTTTTGCAGCAGGAGCTGCATCATCATCACCATCATCATCATCATCATCATCATCATCATCATCGCAACGACGACGACGACGACGATGATGATGATGATAGTCCTGCTTGAAGTCCTGAAAAAATTGCTCGGATCCTCCTTTGACAGAAATACAACGGCAGAAAATGTATCCTTCTCTAATAAAAAACCCTTCCATTTCCCTCATTCACCCACCCACACAGATTATTAAATAGCCGTTCCAAAGAGGCTGCTGCCATGGCAACATCAAATATCTCTTCTTTGGAAGCTCACTGATTGTCGAACGCGAACATGGAACGAAGAAGTTTCACATAACATGTAGCATGTATTGATGGCTCGATATCATTAGTTTTTAGATTACAAAATGTGTTTCGGATTTCGTTGTGTAGGCTTAAGAACGAGATAGGGGTAAAGATGGACGTGAACCATTAGTATATTGAGTAATAGAATTAATCTTGAAATACTTGGCCCATGTTTTATTGCCCAGGGGCTTGTAAAGCAAAATTTAGCAGCAGGATATAAACGGTCACTAACGGGGTGATAGTACAATATAAAAGGGTCCTTTTATATAGTACTATCATATATTATGACCCCGTTAGTGTACCCCTCTGACAATTGTAAATTGGCACGGCTCCCATGGCCGAAAGCTATGAACACACAATGTCATTTAGAAAGTGGTCAAATATTACATTTGGGATAACACTTTCTTAGTAAAGTACAGATTCTCGTACTTTTGGGGGGTTGAGTCCCGTCCGGGATTCGAACCCACGCCGCCAGAGTGAGGCACCTAATCGCCTGTATGAGAATCTGTACTTTACTAAGAAAGTGTTATCCAAATATAATATTTGATACATTTGACCACTTTCTAAATGACATTGTGCGCATATATATCGCTGCTGTTTCTCCGCCTTTCAGATTTCAAATAGGCGTATTGATACGCAAGGGGGGAAAAGACTGATCCAGAACAATTATTAGTGGTATGTGAGCTCTCGTCCAGAGTGACCGGCCCTTTCGGGAACCTGCGAGTGTAGACGAGATTTTGAAAACTGTTGTAGCAACGAGGAACGGTGAGCAGCACATTTTGTGCATTTTGCTTATTTTAGAGAGCGATTGAAACACAATTTGTAAGTTGTACTGGTCGATCTCTTGCCTGTGCTTATTGCGTCTTATTTTTAAGTGGAAATAATGAGATTGTCGTTTGTTTCTTTGTAAGAAAGTATGTTTAGAAGTAGCAGACGATTTTCCAGAAGTCAAAATCCGACTTCAGACAAACTTCAGTTCACCTATTGAATAACTTTCACCAAAGGAACTCAGCAGATAACTAATCTTATGAACCAAATTATTTTTAAGATGGATGTTTAGCTGTCAGTGTCCCAATGCCACAATTTTCGTTGTAATTGTCTGAATACTCGAGAATGACACAGTAAAAAATTAATTCAAAGCCAGTTTCCAACAAATTAGGCTACAATCACAAAGCGGTAGCGAGCTCTTAAAAACTGTAAATTTCTACTAGTCCTTATGATACCTTAACTATTTGGCAATTTGGCAAGGACTATCTAATAGTACTGATGTCAATTTCTAACGGTGATTTGGAGCATGTAGATCTAATCTGAAATAACAGTATTTCTTTTTTTTTGCCTGATCATTATCATGTGAACCAACCAGTTAATACTAGGTCTGGGACAGGTAACTCAGGTACCCGGGTCGGGTGGGTCCTGAGTAGGATCCGGGTACCCACAGGACTACCCGGACCCGTAGTTGGTCACGTGATATATATTGTTTGATGACAAAAATTATCTAAAACTCTATGATTACACTATAAGTCTCTAATATCCCATTTCTTCTGACTTTTATATGTTTGAACAAAGATAAAACTTCATGCATTAAACTTCAGTGTATGCATGGGCGGATCGTCTTACACGTGTATCTAAATACATTTTGCCAGGGCAACGGTCAAACTTTTCCAAATTGGACAGTTTGTACCTATCTAAAAATCTACAGCAGGTACCCGGGTAGGGTCGGGTTACAGGGTGGTGGGTACCGGGTAGTAAATTTTGACCCGTCCCAGCCCTAGTTAAAACAGGACAACTTTCCCTCATTCATTTACTGCTTTATTTCAGCTGACGTGATCATGTCTGACATCCACACAACAGCCTTTAGGTATGACTCCACGTGCAGCGAGATGGACATCAAACCTCATCCATACATCAACAAAATGTTTGAAAAAGAAAAGGAGGAGACGGTCATGTAAGACATGATAAGAAGCAGTTGTATCAATTGAATGACATAAGACTGACAGGGATATTTAACAGATTTGATTATTGATGAAAATGATAAAAACTTGATTCTTTCAAGAAGCTGGAACTGAATAATTTAATCCAAACCTTTAACAATTAACCAATCCCATAACTCGGAGCTCCAGATAACCTTTTGAGCATTTGAGTTTTTACTCTAGGTTTTCTATTTTAATTGGGTTATTACATTTTTCATTGGGTAACGAATATTTTTTCATTCATCTATTCATCACTCTATTGGGTATTTCCCAAAATTAGTGAACATCTTAAGATTTGAAAAAAAGATGAATTGTTTTAGATGTATATAACTGTTCTAAATATATAGGTTTGACTCGGAAAGTAAATAAGCTCGTAATTGTGTTTCGGAAATTTGCCCCTTTTGTATGCATGCTGAAAAAGCTTCATTGGGTATTTACGCTAGCTGTTTTTATACATTTGAGTTTTTCCTGCATGCGTTTCTGTACGCAATTTAATTGAAAGTAATTGGGTTTGACTATTTTTAGGGGGTATTTTACGCAAATACGCTGCTTATCTGTAGCTCTGCATAACTGAAGTTGTTTGCTTTAGTTATATTGGCTTGGCAAATTGTCAATCTTAGCATTCATTTAGTCTTAGCAAGTTTAATACAAGTCATATAAAACCAACTTAGTTTGCTAACTGATTTTTTATCATGTGAGTCAATCTATCAGTTACTGATTACATTAATTACAAATGAGACAACATCTCCATGACACCTGGCACTAATTACTGGGGTTTCAGATCATTTTCAAGGATACTAAAGATTTTTTTTAAATTTGGTGAATATACACAGGTATGTCCTGTGAAGAAAATGATAAAAAATGAAAATGTCCTGCTGCCATTTGTTTCAAGCAGAATCACGAAATAAGAATCTAAGCCATAGCCATGAGTGCATCTGTATGATGTGAGCTGGTCTGTATTAAAAGTGCTGTATTTAACTTTATAAGATATTATTTTTTTAAATCTAACTGATTAGTCAGAATGAAAGGGAAGGATGTCGCTGTATATGTTATTGTACTAGGTGCACTTGTTAACTTCCATACAAAATTCACCCTTTATTACAGACACATGTAGGGTTTGGTTTGTTGTTTAACGCAGCACTCAGCAATATTCCAGCTATATGACAGCGGTCTGTAAATAATCGAGTCTGGACCAGACAATCCAGTGATTGATACCATGAGCATCGATCCACGCAATTGGGATCGATGACATGCTTCAACCAAGTCAGCTAGCCTGACCACCCAATCCCGTTAGTCGTCTCTTACGACAAGCATACTCGCCTTTTATGGCAAGCATGGGTTCACGGGTCGACACATGTAGGGGAAAAGGGTTGTCAATAATATCTAACCACATATGGATAATAGTAGAAGTAGCTTTTTGCTGTTTAATGCCGCACTCAGCAATATTCCAGCTGTATGACAGAGGTCTGTAAATAATCAAGTCTGGACCACACAATACAGTGATGACATCATGAGCATTGATCTAAACAATTGGGATAGTCGTAAGGGGCGACTAACGGGATCGGGTGGTCAGGCTCACTGACTTGGTTGATGCATGTCATCGAACCCAATTGCGTGGATCAATGCTAATGACATCAATCACTGGATTGTCTGTTCCAGACTCGATTATTTACAGACCGGCACTATATAGCTCGAATATCGCTGAGTGTAGCGTTAAACAACAAACAACAATAAACAAACTTAGAAAGTCCACATTTATCCTAAATATTTTAAGGTGTTGCCTGAAAATAATTATTTTATTATTTCAGCTTATATTTGTCTGTGCACATATTGTGATTTAGGCCTGTATAGTCTATATTTATTTACAATCTTTTTATAATTAAGTATTATATTTATTTGCATATTTGTGAATATATTTCTATAGCTGGGCTAACCGCGGGTGAGTACTTGTGTTGGGTTGTGTCTGGTTTGTGTTGGCCCTGGATTAACACTGCATGTTGAACATATTTCACATTCTACAAATGTTTATAATTGTTTGCGGATTAAAGGTCTATGTTGCATGCTGTGTGTATTGTCCTGATATATATGTTTGATATGCTGTTGTTTTATATGTACCGTATTCGACGCAATAAGCGCCCAGGGCACTCTCAAAATTAGAAATAGGGGGCTCTTATTAGCATATTATTTTGGTGACAAAAACAGAGTTCAAAGATCGTAAATTTCGTGGTTTATGCTGACAGCCTGAAATTATTATACACAACAGATATGTTTTTCCAGAATTTAATTGCCCATAATTAAGGGTGCATATAACACACAAGTGTGTATAAAACACGAATAAATAAGACGTGTACATTGATCAATCGGAAGGGGTGCTAATTGGGATTGTTCACTAGCCAATATATTAGCAAATATCGCCGTGGGCGCTTATTAGAGCGGGGCGCTTATTACGTCGAATACGGTAATATATATACTCATCATCGTTATTTGCAACTTTAATGTTTAACAAAACTAAAATCATTAAGAAACAAACAATTGTACCTTATTCTGTTTTCTTCTACCAGACTTTGGTGAATTCATTTAATTTGAAGTGTTCAAATCTGAATGCAAGTCAAGGGGATCTTGCCAGTGCCCTTATGCCCAATCTCATTAAAATCAGATCTAAGTTCTCGCTGTCGCTAAACAAAGATCTGAGGACATCCCATTACAGGTCACGTCAGACCGACCTTTCGCGAACTCTGACCGACCAATGGAATTACTGACAAGAAGTCGACATTAGTCAACCAGAAGGCAGCTTTCTCATTCTTTATGGCACTAATTTCAAATTGGCGACTATGCTTCGAAACATATTTTGACAAATTCTCGCTTAAAAATTTGAACCTGAACAAAAAAACACTCTCGAATGGCTAATATAGGTCTAGATTGTATAGATTTAGTTGTTAAGCCCGTAACTATCCTTCAGAATACCCCGCTTTAAAGTTATCGAGGTTGCATGATTAGAAATCACATTCCGAATGTCACTTTCCTGATCTGGTAAGCGACGCTCTGATTGGTCGGATGAAAAGTCGTTCTGACGTGACGTGACGCAAGCTAAGGACCCCAGAAACCCCTTTAATTTTGAGTTCTGCAATTGGTAATTTTCAGAGCAATAACACTAGTAGGCGATTTGATTGGAATAATTGTATTTTACTTTTTATAATCAGTGTCAATATTAATAAAATGATTATTGAATTTATAGAGGACAGGTGGTCAATCCCATTTAATCCCATTTAATCCCATTATGTCTTGAAATGATCTGACATACTCATGTACATAAGTGCTGAACTGTTGAATTTTATTTCAATCTCATTAAAATCACATCTTAGTTCTCACTACCGCAAAACAAAGATCTGAGAACATCCCATCAAGGGTTACGTCAGAACAACCTTTCATCCGACCAATCAGAGCGTCGCTTTCAAGATCATGAAAGTGACAGTCGGAATGTGATTTCTAATCATGCAACCTGGAAAACTTTAACATGGGGTATTCCGAACGATAGTTACGGGCTTAATGACTGAATCGATACAATCTAGACCATCTATTAGCCTTTCTAGAATGTTATTTCGTTCAGGTTTCAAATTCTTCAAGAATTTGTCAAAATATGTTTCGAAGCATAGTCGCCAATTTGAAATTAAAGCACGAGAAAGCTGACTTCTGATTGGCAATTGTCAAATTCTTGTCAGTCATTCCATTGGTCGGTCAAAGTTTGCACAAGGTCAGTCTGACGTGACCTGTGATAGGGTGTTCTCAGACCTTTGTTTAGCAGTAGCAAGAACTAAGATCTGATTTTAATGAGATTGAATTTTCTTTGTGCATATGTTGGTATGTATTTTTCAGTCAATATTCACATGATTCTCAGATAGGCTTTCTGCTTATCATGAAAATGTATTGAATATACCATTTCCTATCAGACGATCGAGTGACAGGGCGAGCCGTTTCTATTCACTAAATACTTAGTGCAATGCAAAAGTTTAAATCAGGAGTTACAAGCCTTAACTACGCCAGGATCCGCTGATTGCTCATTATTTTCAGCACCATGCTATAAGGCTTGTTTTTGTGCCAAAGTGATAAAAGCCTGTGATCTTCTCATCACCTTATGCTTTTCCGCTACCTGTCACCGATGATACAGATTCAGAGACAACAGTATTTGAATCTCAGGGTTATAGGCGCTGACCGTTTTGGTGCCTTGAATTTTGTCTGGAGATTAAATATTTTTTCAATCTCATTAAAATCACATCTTAGGAATCGCTACGCCAAACAAAGATTTGAGGACATCCCATTACAGGTCATGTCAGAACGACCTTTCATCCGACCAATCAGAGCGTCGCTTACCAGATCAGGAAAGTGACAGTCGGAATTTGTTTTCTAATCATGCAACCTCAAAGTGGTATTATGAACGACAGTTACGTTCTTTAGGTCCGAATCCATACAATCTAGTCCATCTATTAGCCATTCCAAGTTTCAATTTTTTAATTGAGAATTGTCAAAATATATTTCGAAGTGTAGTCGCCAGTTTGAAACTAGTGCCATAAAGCATGAGAAAGCTGCCATCTGATTGGCTAATGTCCACTGCTTGTCAGTCAATCCATCAGTCAAAGTTCATGAAAGGTCGTTCTGAAGTGACTTGTAATCGGATGTCCTCAGATCTTTGTTTAGTGGTTGCGAGAACTAAGACCTGATTTTAATGAGATTGATATTTTTTCAGCTACACCTGCAAAACCAGATATCTTTAAAAATATAACTATGAGTCTGAATTTTTAAGGAAAAACACCTTGCATCAATGTAATTTTTGTGGCAGGCAATTGATTTTCAACAGTAGCATAATCATTGTTGTCAAGACTTTTCTGTGGCAATGTATTTTTTCAATACAACCCCCCCTCCCCCCCCCCATATCAATTAGCAGTGCCTTTGACAACTGCATTGGTTGTTGCTCACATATATTTGATATGATAACAAGATACGCAGGAGAGGACAGGAAGACCTGATTACCGGTTTCTAGTTTCCTCCTGTATAATAGATGAAGCACAAAGTTCTCATAATGGTTGTTGTAACACAACTAATGAGCTTCAGGGATAGTCTTGTTTTATTGATCTTTGGATATACCATGATAATGTAAGGAATATGTCTTTAGAGAGTGAGTGAGTGAGTTGGGTTTAACACCGCTTTTAACGGCATTCCATTATATCGCGGCGTGTCAGCTTAGTGTGGGAGGAAAGCCCGAAAGTGCAGGTCTCAGACGTTTTTCCACTTCTGTGAAACCGGGTATGGTGCTGACAAACACCTAGAAACATAATCGGGGGAACCGGGATTCGAACCAACAATCATAGGTATCTGGCATGCCCAAGGTACGCAACTCTGCAGAGCGAATTGCGGCGCCTTGGACGACTGCATGGGCCCCTTCAGAGAGACATTGGTCTTGGAACTGTGTTTTGCTGATCCTCTCCAGCCCCCCCCCCCCCAAATTATATGTACCATTTCATGACACCCACCTCCCCACCCCACCCCACAACCCCCCAATACATTTCATAATACAAATAACAAATAACATTTTTTCATGACCCCCTCCCCGGACCCTCCCTTTAATAAATCATCAGTCCCTAAATAATGTTCAAATTTACAACTCTATTATTTGAAAAAATAGAACTGTGTCATTTTTTTTAATGTCCTCCTCCCCATGTAGGTGTCCTAAATTTGGGCTAGCCCCACTCTTTTGGCAGACAACGACATCCTCCTGTGCTTCTTCTTCCAACACCTTCCCAAACCCCATCCCCAAATCTTCCCTGGCATCATCCAACAGTTCTCATTCCGGACTCGACTGCTTCTGCTACTTTGAATATGCCATGTACCAGATAAACATTTGCCTCATATTCTCGACTGCCTCCGTTGTCCAGTGGTAGAGCATCTGCCCGGGGAGCGGAAGGTCATGGATTCGATCCTCGGCCCTGTCATACCAAAAGACGTTAAAAGATGGTACTTAGTGTTACCTGCCTGGCGCTCGGCATTGAGGGGCTAAAACAAGGACTGGTTGGCTCGGAGTCTGTATACTGTGTCTGCTTGGGGTATTCATGTTAAACTGCGGCATGGTATCTCAGTGAGCTAGCTCTATGAAAATCGACATTAGTCCGGACTAGTACAAGCAGCCACACACACATACTCATGCTCATGCAAGTCGTAATAAAAGTGCAACAATCTTGAAGTTGAACGCGATGGTAAAACCCCATTTCACCTCACCATATCACCTAATGTTCTGAATGAATAAGCGCACTCTGTTGTCTCGAAGAAATAAACGTTTAAGAGCTAACGCTTCACATGCTATTGTGAAAAATGTGCAGTTTACAAAATAAGACAGACAGATAGTTTATTTAAGTCTCACCTCATCTTTTTATACAAACAATGAATAAACAAGATAAAACACATTAGAATATTGAGCCGTCCCCTACGGAACTACGAGAGACTTTTTTACATAAAATACAAGGAAAGTAAAATAAACTTAAAATAGAATAATCGAACTATGCTGTAGTTGGTGAATATTGGGCAAGTATATATATATACCAATTGACAGTACGATGTTTTAAGATATTTAAGCAGGTTTGGGCAGATAAAAATGTGATTTCAGGATGCAACAAAATAAAATTAACTTTCTCGACATCATTAGAAGACATGACACCATATACTACTTGTGTGCATTTGTTAAAAAGGCGGTTTCTTTAATCAGAGTATAAAGGAGGGCTGTCATGTGGTGGGTTCAATTCCCCTTGTGGGTACATATTTGAAACCCATCTCTCTCACTCACTCACTCACTCACTCACTCACTCACTCACACTCTCTCTCTCTCTCTCTCTCTCTCTCTCACTCACTCACTCACTCACTCACTCACTCACTACTTCTGGTTTCATATTTTCT